TCTAAACCAGGTCTAAACCAGGACTAAAACCAGGTCTAAACTAGATCTAAACCAGGACTAAAACCAGGTCTAAACTAGATCTAAACTAGATCTAAACCAGGTCTAAACCAGGTCTAAAACAGGATTTAACAGGACTAAACCAAGCTGCGCAGATGTGTCTCCTCCTCTTCTATCAATAATATTTTTAATACAGTTAAGTATCTTAGTCTTTGCTTCTCTACAGCAAATCAAGTAATCTAAAGTATTCAGATTACGTTACTCACTTTAAGTAATTTAATGGATTACGTTACAAACTACATTTTGGGATATGTAATCTGTAATCTGTAATTCACCAAGACAGGGAGGTAACGCCACGATCTGCCAATTAATCGTCTCAAGTGTCGTCCGTTTGTTTCTGTTAATGCGCTTTATAATCTGCTGCGATTTACGTATGAAAATAGACGAGAGAATTCAACATTATTGATATTGCGTTTTATAATCCGATGCGATTTATAGTCCGAAAAATATGGTGAATGATGACGCAGACTGTAAATAAAAACATATTTACATGCAACTGGTTAATTACAGGAAGTGCAGAGTTCTGTTTCAGAGACTTCATCACACGAGGGAGAATTCTATCCACACATTTTATCCACAATTTACAAGTTTTTGCCGATACTTTGAGCATGATTTCAACAAAATACATGTGTTTTCTTGTATTTGTGTTTGTCAAATAATTATTTCTGTGAACATAACAAGAGTTTTGCCCCAGTGTACATGGTGGTTGCTAGGTAACAGTTATGTAATTCTCTAGTGTGACCAGAAAATAAAAATTCAAACCTAAAAAATATCCAAACTCTGAAAAAGAATAGCATTTTTTTATTGTAATATCTTAAATACAGGGTGTCCCAAAAAATCATTTCTCAGATCAATCATTCTGGCAATTCTTGAAATAATCTGAAATTTTCACACAGTGTATAGAAACAGTTCAAGATTTAATATTTAATGTTTTATTTTTCTTCTGCTTTCCAGGGTTCCCACTCTTTCACTGACAAAATTTCAAAATTTTCTATGATTTTTCATGACCTAAAGTGAATTTTCCATGACTTTACGGCACCTACATTCATAGAATTGATCAGACTTTTAGGGCTAAATATGAAATGTTAACTTTTTCCACTCACCTTATGGTTTGGTTTTATAGTTTTTTAACATTCAAAATCCTGTCAGTGCTTTTATTGTCGTCTCTTTTAAACAAAAGGTGCAAAAGTTTGGAAATAATCATAATCGCCAAACGACAGAACGCTGTAGTTGTGTGAAAAGAGATATTAAAATCCCATGACTTTTCCAAAAGTTTCATTGAAATTACCAAATTTCATGACTTTTGCAGGCCTGGAAAATGACACTTTCAATTTCCAGTTTCCAGAATTTCCATGACTGTGGGAACCCTGGTTTTCAGGTTGAGCCACGCCGTTCACTCCCAAAGAGAAGTCATGTTGCGTTTTGGAATCTGCTCGCGTTGAACCGTGACTTCGACGCAAAATTTGGAAAAACTTCACCAACTGGCAAACGAATTATGGGTGAAGTTTTTCCAAATTTTGCATTTAAGTGATGCTGCACTGTCTTGGGTAACTGTGCGACCAAAACACAAAATGATTTCTCTTTGGGAGTGAACGGCTCAACCTGAAAACAAAACAAAAATAAAACATTAAATATAAAATCTTCATCTGTTTCTAGACACTCACCGATACTATTGGCCTGCGAAATGATGTAAACATTTTTGGGACACCCTGTATAATGATCTTAACTGTGTTTTAGTAAAGTGAGTAGTCCAACTGTATTTTTTATTATTTGTTTTCACAGTTGTTGCTGTATTTTGATTGAGGGATTCTGCTTCAAACTGATGTAAAACTGTAACAAATATTAAAAGCACAAGCGAAGCCAGAACTAGAAAAACAAAAACATGAAAACACTTTAACTCTCTGTTTTTATTCTATCACTTTAAATGTGTAACTTGTAAGAAAATGAGTTGCAAATGACCCATCTAACTTTAGCACACATCCCAAATAGCCTGCGGTCAGATCGAGGTGCCCCTGCCAATGTTTGCTCCTGTCCAAGAGGCGGGGCAAAGGACTCCGCACGGGCCAATCACGGCGAGGGGTGGAGAGGCCTTTCTGCCCGGCAACAGGCCTGGAGGGGGTCCCACCGCGGAGCTGCGTCGTGGGGCCCAGTTAGTCCCGTCTGCCTGGGCCTGGGGGAGGAGAGGGACGGGGGTGGGGGATTTGGCGTAGTTAAATTGTCAAAACGTGGGGCAAAAAAACACGGCACAAATACACGACGCGTAGGACAAGTGTTTTAGAGAAGTTTGTCAAAATAGCGAGAGGACTTTTGGAATAACATACTGAAGTCCAGCAAGAAGAGTAGCCAAAAAATTGTACTCAGGTGACAGTAATGTTACTTCAAAATAATATTACTCAGGCAGAAGTAGAAAGTAGTGGTCCAAGAAATGTAAAAAAGTATTGGGAAAAGCTTAAAGAGCAACTTGGGATGTAAAAAATGAAAAAACATTTAAAAAAAACGCACAAAATCTGGTATTTTTGTCACTTGTAGACTTGCTCACAGAGGGAAACATCACAGAATTTTTTATTCAAGAAGAAGTACTGTTACTTCTGTTAAAAATATTACTCAAGTCAGACTAAAAGTACAATTTATGTGAAAGGTTACACAAGTAAATATAACGTGTAAAGTAAACGTAACTATTCAGCCCTGCCAAGTCAATATTAGTCCTTTTTAAACCCTGTTCAGTCTAGCCTTAGTCCAGATCTGTTGACATGTTTTCCAGAGTCCTGGTTTAGTCCACGTTTGATACCAGTGTCCGGAGTAACGTGTTATAAAAGTAACTAATTACTGTAATGCGTTGCTTTTTGCTGTAACGCAATAATTTAAGGCATTGCAAGGAAAAAAAGGTTATATTTTACTCGGTACAAATGTAACACGCGTCACAGTGCTTTTGAACCTGGATTGAAGTGGTGGGTTTTTGGTTTTTCTTCAAACAAATTCGCTAAAATCACCGCGAGATCAGCAGCGGTGAAACGCCATCGTTACGGTTCCGAATGTAGGGACGGGCCCGGAGGTGCGCCCGTGTAGACCGTCGGGTGACCGCGGGTGAAAGGACCGACGCAGAACTCCACGCTCCACGGGGCGAAGAGCAGCTGACGCCCGATCGCACTTCGCGGACACCCTGCTCCACGGGTTCAGGGTTCTCTCAGGGGCAGTCCTAGATTCCAAGTCCGAGATCAAGATTAGTCCTTGTTTGGTCCTGGTTTAGACCTGGTTTAATCATGGTTTCCTCCTGGTTTAGTCCTGGTTCAATCCTGATTTAGTCTTGGTTTAGTTCTGGTTTAGACATGGTTTAGTCCTGGTTCAGTTCTGCTTTAGTCCTAGTTTAGACCTGGCTTAGTCCTGGGTTAGACCTGGTTTAGTCCTGATTGAGCTCTGGTTCAGTTCTGGTTTAGTTCTGGTTTAGAAATGGTTTAGTCCTGGTTTAATCCTGAGTTAGACCTGGTTTAGTCCTGGTTTAGACCTGGTTTTGTCCTGTTTCAGCTCTGGTTTATTTCTGGTGTAGACCTGGTTTAGTCCTGGTTCACTCCTCCTGATTCAGTCCTCGGTTCAGTCCAGGTTTAGTCCTGATTCAGTCCTCATTCAGTTCTGGTTTAGTCCCGGTTCAGTTCATATATTGTGCAAAAGTTCAGCATCTTTGCTCACTGATTGTGAAATGACAGTAACAAGTCATAAATAACACATTACAGTTTTGAAGTAACTTGCCCAACAGTGTTTGATACTGGTTAAGTTTTGGTTTAGACCTAGTTTAGCACTGGGTTAGTTCTAGTTAAGCCCTAGATTTTCACCTTGTGCTCATGTTTTTATTGTTTCAGCCCTGGTTTATTCTGTGATTAGTCCATTACTCTTAGAAATGTTATACTTTGGTAATTCTTAGATTGATGCACTGATCCAATATTCATATCAGATACTGGTGTGATATTAATTGATATAATACGACTATTTCCTGGCTGTAGTCAGTTCAGAAAGTCTCAGTATGATTGAACTTTTATTTCTTCTTATTTATTTATTTGTAAAGGGACAGCACATATTAATGAACATTAAAAATGTAAATTTGTAAAGTTTATAGCCAGCATGGCTCATTTCCATCTTCAGTCCCTCGGCAGGTTGATGTAAAATCATCTACAGGACAAGGAAAAGTACAACAACGATCACACAAAAGTACATAAAACCAGCACACTCACTATACATAGAAATTATTTATATATTTTTTATATTTATATAAAGTTGTTCTGCAGTTACTTGAGGGAAGTAAATTCTAATTTTGGTCTAGTTCTCTCTGTTTTAGACCTGGTTTTTCCCTTCTTAAACATTCAAGACCTGGTTAAGTCTTGCTGTAGTTCTTATTTGGTGCTAGTCTTCTCTGGCCTGGTTGAGTCCTGGTGTACTGCCAGTTAAAAGTTTGGTGTCACTTTTTCATCTGTCTTTCTTCTTTCGTTCCATGAGTATTTACATAGAAGCTGACCAGTAAAGGCATCATGAATGTATATTTTGTGTAGTAAGTACATTACACATGTGTAGAGCTGTCATGGTTTCTAGATTAATAATAACAGTTACATAGATAACAATAGTACTGAAGGCTCAGCTGCATAAATAAAGTGCAGGAGTAGAAAAAAATAGGCCACAAATAATCATTTTTATACTAACAGGCTGTCAAACCACATCCAATATACAACTATGAATAAAATATGTTCTAATTCTATTCCAAAATGGTTCAGTATATACAGTTTGCATTTACTACATCAGTAAAATAAACATTCTCTTTCACAATGTAGTATGATTAAAAAGTAGCTTTATTAAATTGTTATGGCAAGGCAAGTTTATTTGTATAACACAATTCGTACACAGAGTCATTCAAAGTGTTTTACAGAATAAAAAAAAGCATTAAAATCACAATACAAACAACATGATGTGGAGACAAGAAGCAGGCTCTTCGCGGTGGCAGACTCCCCACGGTCACAAGGGAAGCAGAGTCCTGCACCGGGTCGGGTACCTGCAAGTAGCTGCTGAAATGGGCGGGTTTTAATGTTGGAGAATTTTACGGGCTGGTAGTGATTAGACACGGGTGGGTCAGGTGAATCAAATGTACGACGAGAGTGACTGACGACTTACTCATAAAAAAGGAGAATCTACATAAAGGATTGACAAACAGTGCACATTTTAACAGAATCAACAATCAAAGCATCAAAATATGATTTTCATCAGATTACAGAAGTTATATATTTTGTTCTGCATGTTCTGGCCCATTTTTACTTATTTTAATATGAACTGCAAAAGATCATGGCAGTTTTGTGCATTTAATATCTAAGCCTGTAACGAAACTTAATTTCTCTGTCCGGTTGCATGGTTCCTAATCTCCACCGTCTGGTGTCGATTTGTGGTATCATGGTGCGGTGCTGTACCACAAAGGTCCCGACCAGTGTGGGTCTCCAAAAATGGACCCGTGCAGAACTCTGAAGGGAAGCGAGACAATGGCTATGTTCTTGTCTTAATGTGATTTATTATTAAATAAGCCAAAAGAAAAAAGTTCAGATAAAATTGTCTAACTTTATTTCACACCTAAAAGTTTAAGCACTGACGAAAAATCTCGTGGAACCCGTGGCTATAACATATAACCAAAAATAAAAAGGGAAAAGTGATTATTGATGTGCCACAATGTTATCAAAAAACAAACCAATGTATTTATGTATTTATGTGTGAGAACGAGTCACCAACACTAATAGAACGACATGCTTGGATAAAAATGTACCTGCCTTTCTGATCTCAGAGAGCGATTGACAACTTACACTTAAAAAAGGAGAATCTACATAAAGGAATGAGAAACAGTGCACATTTTAACAGAATCAACAATCGAAGCACCAAACTACTATTTATTTCAGATAAAAGAAGTTACATATTTTGTTCTGCATGTTCTGGCCCATTTTTACTTTTTACAATATGAACTGCAAAAAGATCATGGCAGTTTTGTGCATTTAATATCTAAGCCTGTAACGAAATTTGACTTCTCTGTCCGGGTGCATGATTCCTAATCCCCACCGTCTGGTGTCGATTTGTGGTATCTTCTCATCTGGGTTCATCAGCTCAAAGTCGAAGTAGACCAGCATAAGAAAAACAAACTGCTTGATCTCGTTGGTGGCAAAGAAGCGACCAGGACACATGGACACCCCAGACCCCCAAGGCATGCTGTAGTATTTGACCCTCTGCTGTTTCCTTTGTAGAAAGCTGTTTTCTTTGTACCTTCTGGAGTGAGGAACCGGTCGTACTTGAAGGTGTATGGGTCAGGGTGGATCTCAGGGTCAATGTGAACAGAAACGTAGGGAAAAACAGCCATGCGGTCTCCTTTGCGGATAAAAAACTGATGACCATCAGCCATTTCCAGGGTCATATCTTGAAGGACATGTCTGGTGAAGAGCGGTGCTGCTTTAATACGAAGAGTTTCTTCAACAGCACTGTCTAAAACTGGTGTTTTCATGAGCATTTCGTAGGTTAGATTGACTGGAGGACCACCAGGTCGGACCTCCTGCCCAGACTCCTTAAGGACCTTATCTACTTCTTTCCTCAAAGCCTCCATTGCAATTGGGTCCTTCATAAGGTAGAGGAGAAGCCAAAACGCTGAAGGCCCAGTGTTGCCCTGAGATGCCCAGAGTAGTACAAACATGTATCTGTCAGTCATTATCTCTGGTATACCTTGCTCTCTTTGCAGGTTGAAAATGTCTTTGAT